GAAAGTACATATTGTTTTCGATCATTTTATATTTTTAGAATGATCGAAAACAACCATGTGTTATGTACCTCTTGTACGTTCTTGAGCATATTGCATATAACTACAAATAAAAGCTTAGTTTTAGATCGAGTTATAGTAATTAAATATGGTTAACATGGTCTTATTCTGCGCTCCACTTGATGATGTTTATGTTCACCAATAGTAATGAAAATTTTCACCATACAATAGAAGATATAAATAAATATATAAGCACGCAGAAATTAAAAACAGTTTGGTCGGTGTCCAAAATCCAAATGCTTGAAACATAAATTTATTTTACGGGCTGTAATGAACTAGAGGACGAATGTGAATTCAATACACAATGATACCCCTAAACAGTCACATATAAATACATTTTAACTAAGAAAAATATAGCTTATGAATTGATCTAAATGATTTTTTTTATAACAAAAAAAAAAAAAATCTCAATATCGCTACATTATATAAATAGGATACACACATTTAAATTATATATTTAGGGTCCCATTAGAACCCACCCTAGACTACAAACTTAAAAATACTGTCGACGGCCCCACACCTCAGCACCAGTGCTTTGATATCGTTGCTAAAGCATATTGTAAGACTTGGGTGAAACAATGGTCTCCAAACAAGTTACTGCCTCATTCCATTGATCCCAAAATTGGGGGGAGTATGGTGAAACTGCGCGCACCTATGTGTTTTCTCTTTTAGATTGCACATGACAAGCTCTCTGCTACCAATTGCAAATAAATATTCTTCATTGTTTGAGAAATCCAAAGGCTTCATGGTACCACAAGAGATGCGAAACTCAAATTTAGTCCAAGACGCTCTCATGCCATATTCCTTCATCAACCAAAAAGCAAGGGGAGCCAGGATTGCAAAATAGAGGGGCTAAAAATAATTAAACCCGTGATTGCTTAGTGTATCAGCCATACTCCAAATACAGAATTTTCATGCATCAGTCATTCAATTAAACCCAAAAATTTACAACCTTCTAACACATTTACACTTTCAAACTCAAACGTATTTTCCCAATCAAGAATCCCCTAAAGTCTGCTTCATACAAATATTAAAACAAACACCTGCAATAATGCAAAATATATATGTCCCTTATCAACAAATTCACATTAGAGAAAAAGACCCATGTGCTCCGCCCCTTACTAATTATTAATCCATTATATAGTAAATTACCCAATTTAACAAGAAATCATCAAGTCATCAACACAACCCTTTTTTTATTTTTTTTACAAAAATAAAAATTAATATTTCACTGGATTAACAATAATAATCCTTGATATCCATTCACTTATATCTTGGTGTTTTACACACGAAGAGTTTAGGTATTCTTCCATAAACTAACAATGCGTTTGATTTATTGGGTTGGCCTTGTTATGTTTTATTATGGTTTATTTTGTGATTTGGCATGTTCATGGTTCGTGGACTTACTCATATTTAAGGCTTAGCCTTTATAAATTTTGTAACTCCTTTTATTTATAGAAATACTATGAATTGGACTGGACTGATAGGAAGAGGAAGAGTAATATATGAACTTATAGGAACAATAATACTAAATTTTCTTTTTTCAATTGGGCCTGAATTATAGCCCAAGTTAACCCATTACTGGGCAATCAAACCACTACTAAAGAGTAGTGCTAATATATTATCGGGTAATTTAAAAAGTCATTTTACTCATATCTTAATTGAACCAATGGAGATTTCCATTCAGAAATAACCCCCAGCTGTTGTACTCAATTAAGAAAGGAAAATATGAAATCCTTCTCCATGAATTTGATTTTGACTTCACGTGCAAAATATTTTACTTGAATCTAATCATACTACCCTTTTAATCACTTAATGACTAAACTACCCCTATTTAAGTCTAAAGTTTAACTCCATATTTTTTGGCGTGTTTCAGCGGTGGCCAAACGTGAGTCTAAACAAACAACCTCAACCAAACTTCAGAGATTACTTCAGTCCAATGCACTCCTTTTTTAGATGAAACAAAGACCAAATTGCTTTAGTGTGGTGACACCTCAAGCCCTCCTTGGCAAAACCCAGCTCAATCCGGCGACGTCTCAAGCAACGTCGACCCACCCCGACGAAATCCAATTCTATCTCGTGAGCCTCAAGGTTCTTTCTACATGAAACCACAACGGTGACGATGACCAAACCAGGTAGTAATGTGACTTGCATGCTTTATCCGACAATAAACCGGCGAGCTCCAGTGAATGACCAAACTAGCTCCACTACCGCCAAGCTTTACTAGTGAGCTCTCCTTGGCGAAACCCAACAAATTGCTTCAGTTCGGCGACGCCTCAAGCTTCCTTGGTGAAAACCAGTTCAGTCCGACGACGTCTCAAGCAACTTTAATCCACCCCGGCGAAACCCAGTTCAATCCCAGTGGCCTATTCCGTCCAAGAATAAGAGAACAAAAAATCAAATATGAGCCAACTTTCCACCGGTGGTCTATTCCACAAGAATAGGCGCCTTCTGATCGGGACCTGTGTCACGGATTCTCGGAAGATGAAAAACTATAACTATCAACTACCTTCTCGTTCTTACAAGACAATTTAAATTTTTCGAGTTACCACTGTTAATTATGACGAAGCATAGTATTCAGAAGATTAAGGCAACAACATAGTTTTTAAGTCGTTTAATTTATTTACAATTTCAAGCCGTCAAGATGCTAAGAAAAACCTACCATAAGATTTTCACTAAATAATTAGGCTGCTTAGGATAAAAGTGTGTAAACAAGTATAATGCCGTACAAGTATGTGTGGAGAGAGAGAGAGAGAGAGAGAGAGAGCGTCATGAAATTTGACTTCATTTTTAGAGATTCAACAATTAATTTCCATCAGTTTGAATTCTAAAAAACCCAATATTCTAGGCCAAGACAAATTCAAAACTGTGTGCACATATTTGCTAGATTTATACTCATATGCTCTGGATTAGCTGACCCATAAAATTTGTCAAACAACCACTAACAATCATGATCCAACAAGACCACCCACTGTTCAAGTTGATTAGTTTCACAAGAAGGGCATAATTGTCATTTGAAATTAACAATTTCAATTTAATAAAATAATAATATACTATCAAGGGTATTATTGTCATTTTACAACAACTTAACAGTTCTGTTACAGAAATGAGGCAACTTGATAATTTTTGTTTGTTTAGGGAATTGTTTAATAATTGAGGGGATTATATGTCGTTTTTGTAAACGATAGGGAGGTGGGGATTATGATTTTAACCTTATTTTAAATTGAAGTAGTTATATATATGGAGGACTCATAAATATATTCTGGGTGGACTAATATATTTTGGACCAAATAATTATAATGAATTGGTCAATTATACAATAAATAAGAAAGTGAAACCCTCCACTTAATTGTATTTTAAATAAACAATTGATTAAAAATTACTGGGTCGGTATAAGTATCACTACTCATTTAATCAAGTTTTTGATGATTCATTGTAAGCATGCAAGTACTCAGTTTTCTATATATATAATCTTTTAATGTATTGAAAAATAAGAAAAAGAAAGATGAAAATCCCTACCTCCAATATAAGTGAAAACAATTAAATTTGTTTTTAAAAAAATTAAAGATTGACCCAGAATGCATATCAAAATAAGTTGATAAAATGATAATTGCAAATACTTATTGTTAGATAGCGTGCAGAATGTTGTATGTAGTGAGTCTCATGTACGGCTTGTGATCATGTTATCCCTTTAATCCAACTTGGATAAGGTGGTCATCTACCACTTTTGTTAGAGTTTTGGAGAGGTACTGTTAAAGTTGTTGCTATTATGAAATTAATTTAGAATATTTTTTGTACAAGGCAAAAATTATTAGAAGTTATATTAATAGATGTAGATAATCAAAGTTTGGTATTTTAAAATTTACCGAAGACATTAACTCCACTAACGAGCCCGCTGCAAATTAATTTAGAGTTTCAGAAAGGCCTATTGTTATTCTTATTAGTCAACCTAAGTAGTTACGAAGAGGAAGTGCATGTGTTCGAATGGCCCCATTGGGAATGGACTCTACCATTTACACAATATGAGCAATACTTGTGGGTGAACGTTTTTTTAGACAAAATAAAAATCCAGTTTACAAAACTTTTAATTTTAAATTTTAAAAAATAAAAATGAGAGAAAACTCTAAATTTAAAAATAAAAATGATAGAAAATTCTGTTTACTTTTAATAAAATCATATAAAAACCGGATTTACAAAGCCTTTTTAAACTTTCTAAATGGATATTTTTAGGACAGTGGAAGAATTTCTAGGCATCGAGGGTGGAGGAATTCTTTGAATTTCGAAATAAAAATGATTTAAAACTCTAATTTTAAAAATAAAAAAATGGTCAAAAACTCTTTTATAAGTATATTATATATACGGATAAATGTAAATAGATAGATATAGATATATTACTCAACGGATAAAAGAAGAAGAAAAGATTATGATTAACGTGATAAATTGTGCTAATTAACTGTATGCAAATAATTTAGTTCATACGCTAAATTATTTACTCCTATTATATTACTGGATTTATTAGTAACTATCAAAGCAATTTGTTGTCACCCGTGAACATAGTGTCACAAGCAATTTATTTATTTATTTTATATTTTTTTAAGTGAAAAAATAATAATTAAAAAATCACACGTTTCGGACCTAATTCGTGATAAACAAGGAGGAGGACACCCGTGAACCTGGTGTAGTGTCATCTAACAAAAAGAATCCTTCAATTAGAAGGATGATTATTAAATAACGAAGTTGGAAAGAAATATATTAACATTTTTTTTTCATAAATCAGGATATCCAAAATTATAAAATACCGTCATCCTATTTGGAAAAGAAAAAGGAAACATGTTTGGCTCTGCATAAAATCCCCGTTGAAGTGAAATCTAACGGCATAAGAAATAAGTTACACATCAAAGGCAAGAATAGAGAAGTGCTGGAGCGTGAGAGCAACACAAGATATGGCTACAAAGAGGGGGAAGGGAGAGGATTTATTACAAATCATTCCGTACGATCTCGTGATGGAAATATTGTCATGGCTACCGGTCAAGTCTATTCTGCGGTTCAAGTGTGTATCCAAGTCTTGGCTAGCCATGTTAACAAATCCTCACTTTGTCAAGCTTCACCTGACAAGATCCAGCAACTCCAAACTCGTGCTTACATGTTCGTTGAACTCTATGTACTCTTTGGAACCTCCTATTCCAATGCGGAATCTCTTCGTGTCGTCTTGGACGGACATCGTTGAAGCAGCAGCGAGTGATGATGATGTAAAAGTTGAAGGAATTGAGATCGTTAATCCTTGTAATTATGAGCAGAAGGCGTTTGTGAGGATCGCCGGCTCTTGTCGTGGCTTGGTGTTATGTTATAAGCCTGGTCATCGTGGTACGCTATACTTGGTGAATCCATCAACCAGAGAAGTGAAGAGATTGCCAGATTTACCATTAATAAGTGAAAATTATGCTTTTGCAATATCACGCGGACTTGGCTATGATGCGTCCCATGATGACTATAAGGTTGTTCAAATCTTGTCCCCTTATTATTCTACTGAATTTATTACGTGTGTATATTCACTAAAATCAAAATCAAATTCCTGGAGAAGGATTTCAGATTCTCCTTTATCAATTCAGGAGGACAGTTGTGGGTTGTTTCTGAATGGAAAACTCCACTGGTTCAATCAAGATATGAGTAAAATGGGTTTTCTAAGTTTAGATGAGGAGAAATTCGGATATGTTCCATTACCTGATATAATATTAACACCACAGCTATTTACACCTGGTTTGATTGGAATTGTCAAAGGATGTCTTTATTTGGTATCAGAAGCTAGCTGTTGTGGCCTCACTTTCTGGGTGATGAAGGAATACGGCATGAGAGAGACTTGGACTAAATTTGAATTTGGCATCTCTTGTGATACCATGAAGCCTCTGGATTTCCCAAACGATGATGGTGATGTAGACTTATTTGCAATTGGTCGTACAGAGCTTGTTATGTGCAATCTAAGAGAGAAAACACATAGGCGTGTGGAGTTTTACAGTGTTCCCCTATTTTGGGATCAATGGGATGAAGCAGTAACTTGTTTGGAGACCATTGTTTCACCCAAGTCTTACAATCTGCTTTAGCAACAATATCAAACCCGAAGAATTGTGTGAAGTCGTGTAAGATTAGGGTTATTTATTTTGCCTATTGTTGGTGCCAGTAAAAATTTTCAGATTAGCATGAGCTAAAAGCAAAGTTATCATAACACGGACTAGGCATTATATTATCCAATATGAAGTTAACCATGCATTATTTCTTGGTGAAAATCTATTCAAATTATACACAGAAAGTCGATCAATTTTACAAATTTCATTTTTATTTTCTTAATTTCTTCTTTTAAGTTCAATGTTTCAAAAAGCGCATATTATTGGGTGGGAAAAAAATATTTTGAAATGAATAAATAAAATTTATTTTCTAGACTTTTTCAACTACAACAATTGTGTGAAGTCCCGTAAATGCGTTCAATGGTTTTTGTTGAATTGGTTTGAGAAATCTACCCTATTTAATCTGAAAACTCTACTCTGATTACCCTATTTAGTCGTTCTCTATAACATTACTTGATCATCCACTAAATTAAAAAGCTTCATTATCAATTTATATCAAAACCGAAATTTGTGCTTAAATCAATCATGGGGTTTCTCGTATGTCTTGAGGCCATATATATATATATATATATATATATATATATATATATTACAACAATAACAAAACCAATTTTTTGTTTTTTTGTTTTTTTTCCCTTTTTCTATTTTTTATTTTTACTTGAACGTTGAGGCTAGTTTTTTTTGTTTAGTTAACAACTACCGCCTTAACAACCTAGGTTATTCCATTAATTAATTAAAATCATAACTACTTTGTAACTTTGCTTAATCAAAAGCACATTCCAAAGAAGGTGCGAGCAAGTTATTTTAATCGGCCCATCCGAGCTTTCAAATCAAAAATCATTGTTGTCAGTTATGAGAATAGACAGGCGCATAAATTATAATTTAATTTTTTAAAGTTATTTATAAAACAAATTTGGTAATCTATACTATGTCAACCCTTAATAAAATTCCCACAAGACTTAATTTCTTTTATATGTCGGATAATACCACCCTCGTGATGATGGTAGTTGATCAATTATAAATGAAAAATGATTCAGAATAGTTACAGTGAATTGTTAAATTTATTTTTTTAATTAGTTTATATAATGAATAAAAAAGTGGAACCCTCCACCTAATTGTATTTGATATAAATAACTAATTAAAAATTAAGATTAATTTTACTGACACCCCTCAGGTTTGGCCAAATATCACCCTCAAACATCTTTCGAAAATAACTATCACTCACATGACAAACTTTTACTCCGTTTCTCACTAACACCCCAACAGTTAGTTGAACAGTTTTAACACTATGTAAAATGACTTAATCGCCCTTTAAATTTGTCAAACCAACTCTTTAACTTAAAAAATTAGATTAAAAGGCTAAAAAATTATAAATTTACAAATTATATATATACATACACATAGACATATATATGTACACAGACATATATGTATACACATTACACAAAGACACACACACACACACACATATATATATATATACATACGCACACAAACATCAGCCGCCACCCACACAGCTATCTGCCATCCCCGCCGCCCACGCAATCAGGGGCGGAACCAGGATCTTGAGATTGGGGGAACCAAAATTATAAACAACAACTTAGCTAGAACTTTTGATATATATATATATATATATATATATATATATATATATATATATATATTATATAGGCAAAAAAAAATTACTATTTATTATATTCATACAAATATATATCTATCTAAACTTTTCTCAATTAATTTAAATAAAAAAATTAATTATTTAAAGAAATTTTTTTATCAAACTTTCTAAACAAACACAAGTAAGATTTATGCCAAAATTATAAATAAAAAAAAAATTCAATTAAATAACTCTCTTTATTTGTCAAAAAAAAAAAAAAAAAAAAAAAAACACAAACAAATTAATAAAATAAGAATTTAGATTCTTAAATCATCGATTTTGTAAAAATTAATTTCTTCAAGAATTCTTATAAAAGCATTCCAATAAAAATAAATAAATAAAAAGTGATGGAAAGAATCATGTATGAGATGAAATTTTAGGATAATAAGATTATGGAAAAAATCGTGCTTGAATTAAAAAGATTTAAGATAGTCACATTATAGGAAGAATGATATTTGAGTTGAAATTTTAAGATAGCCATATTAAATTTTTATCGGGTTTTATAGTCGTCAATTAAATCACGTTCTTTTAGATTATATATAAATTATCTTTTGTTAAATGCTAATTAAAAAAATAAATAGATAAATTCTTAGGAGGTCAAGTATAGATTTTATATCATATATGTTATACTATTTTATTTTTAATATATTTTTACTTATACTAAAAAAAAAATTCCAAAAAATTAGGGGCGTCATGGCCCCTGCCAGGCCCCCTTCCCTCCACCCCTGCACACAATACCCATCACCAATCGTGGCCTCCGCCTCTAAAGCCTTCTGTTTTTTATCCGCCTCCTCAAATTGGGTCTCCGCAATCCATAAGATAATGAAGTTATGATGGTTTACAGTCTTGTCTCTTAATATATCTGATGTAAAGATTGCTTGTGATTACCCGTCGACCCGTACGCTTTTGTCAGTGTCATTCAAATAAATAAAAAATTTAAGAAAAAAATGTCTATCACAATGAAAACGCCTCTATAGTTTTCATCTCTCTCACATATACATCTTCCGATCCGGCCCACCAACTGATAGTATTATCGTCATCATCATATTGAATTCATTCTTTTATATATGTATCAGGAAAAAAAAAAATAAAAAATTCGTTCTTTTATATACTACTACTACATTATTATTCTGAGGATTATAAACATGTCCATTCCATTGAAATTACAAGTCTCTCTCATCTTCCAATTATTTTCATTGCATATTGACAGGCTTGGGTTTGAGTGGGTTCCTCCTGAGGCTGAAACTCTCCTGGTCAGTGAGGGCATGGCGGAAGTGGAAGGTTTTTCAACAGCCTCATTCTCTCCAAAACCCCATGAACCAATCTGCAATCAACCCCAAAATTACTTCACAAATCAACCCCAAAACAAAAACGGTAGTTTCGGCCAAACAATAATTCCGGCGTGGTGAAAAACAGTGGTTGTCATTTCTGATGGCGGGTGTGTGGGTAGGTGTGATGATAAGGGTACATTGGTTATTTATGTAAATTTAATATTTAGAAATAAATAGGATTTAAAAATTGAAGGTAAATTTGTCTTTTTATATATACATTTAACAGAAAAATTAACGGAAAAGTGAGAGTGGATCTAAATGGTAGTTATTTTCGAAAGATACTAGAAAGTGATATTTGGTCAAATCTGAGGGGGTGTGAGTGAAATTAACCCTAACAATTATTAGGTTAGACAATTCACTGCAAATATAATAATAAATAAATAAAAGTTAAATAATAATAGTAGTACGTGTTTACCTCACTGATTTGATAATTAAAAAAAAATTGTATATTTATTATTGGTTCATATCCAAAGAGATAATTGAGTATTCTTTCACTTAAGTATTAGGCCTGATCACGGTTCGGATCAGTTCGGTTTGGGGGTAAAGATCAAACCGAACCTATCCCCACGGATTTGCAAAAATTGAAACTGAACCGATCCGTGAGGGCCTTCAATCCAAACCAAACCGATCCCTGAAGTAACGGATTGGATCGGATCGGTTTCTACAAATTGGCCTTTGTCAATCTTGTTCATTTTTTAAAAAAAATATAAATACAAAATCAATGATATCTACAGGGAAAAAGAAGAGTCCATGGCAGCAAGGAAACCCTAAAAGAAAAAAAACACAAAGAAACAAAATTTCAGAAAAAGCAAAACACTGAACATATATGAGAACCCTCCGTGATGGCGTACACAGTGGAGCCCAAAGTCACACAGTTACAGTTCAGCCACGGGATGACCGTCGGCGGCGGCGTCTTCAAGAATAAGAAGATCCATCACTGTGTTATGATGATTAACAAAAATATTGGTGTTATTTACAAAAAAAAATGTTCAGAAAAGAGGAGAAGAAGAAGATCCATGCAAAAATTTTGTGAACTCACCGAAAAAGAGGTAGATCCACTCGTAAAGGTCGTCGTTGCTTCGAATCTAGTGAACGATTGATTGAGAGGCGAGAGATTGGGAGGCAAAGAGTGATCAAAAACAGACGTGAAGAGTGAAGAATGAAGAGGGTGGAGAGAAAAGGAGAGGGAGGCGCGGCTGTAATAATGTCTAATCCGTTAATCGAACCGCGAATACCGAATTGTAAATTTTTCAAACTATGACCGAATTACGAGATCTGAAAACCGAACAGAACCACACGGATCTGATTGGTTCAGACCGGATTGACGGATTATTTGCTCACCCCTATTATGTATTGTCCTTATATATTTTTATTATTTTGTTGGCTTGGATAAAATGAAAGGAAAAAGAAAATAATGATAATTACAAAAACTATCATTAATATTTTAAATATTAAAATAATAATAAATAAATTTATATTAGATCAAACCATGCATCAAATTTGTGTTAGGTCAAATCATGCATCAATTCATTCATTGTTGACAATAATAATTTTGAATTTGTCTTAAACACTATAGTAACAAGGCACTACTCACTCAGAAGGTTTATATATTGGAATATAACGACTTTGATGAAATTAAATAGGATTGGAATTGTTCCATTAAAAATTTATAATTACCAATAGAATTTTACATATTATATTATATGACAACCAAGTTTCATTTTTAATTAAACTATAATTATATTACTATCTCACATTTTGGATTCTACTTCCTGAACCTATATTATTCCCAAATTTTAAAATCTGTTATAACTTTAATATTCAAATGCTACAAATAATTAATATGCATATACCCACATATTGTATTATATTATATAATGCTCTCAAAAAAAAATATATCCAGTGTATGTCTACATACATGTATTTGGAAGGGAAAAAATAAAATAAAGCATCAATTTTGTATGGAGGATAAAAAATTGAAAACTAAACAA